TGAGAGCTTTGGTTTCTTTGTTATGCAGGTAATATGCTAGTACAAGTTTTTCATAGATAGATTTAGGCATGATAACAACAACAAAAGAAGGTTGATAAATGCCATATAATTAAGTCAATCGTTATGTCCATCTGTAGTTTGCCTGCCTAGCTCAATGACAGAGCATTAGATAAGTAATAAAGGGTAGTCACTTTCTTGATCCTCCGACACAATAAATTTCTCATGGAAAATAAATATCTCATCGCTTATTCAAAATATCATGGACACTTGCTCAGAAATTTGCTACTTAATTATCAAGGAAGGTGGATCGAAAGCCGAAATAAGACCAAAACATTTTTTTTAGAACACCGAATTTATGTTTCGCCCATTGTTTTCTCATAATTGTGGACCTTACGCCACTTTTAATGTACTGGCTTGAAAAAAAAAGTCAATTGGGCTTTCCATGATTAAAATACCTGAAATTACCCAAAATCGGGTTTTTTTTTCCATGTTAAAACATGGCCTGACATATAATTTTGAAGAAAAATTGTTGTTTTGTAGATTTTTTTGATTTTTTTATTAACCCATTACCCCATGAGCATTTTGTGAAAAATGACTGTTTTCATTGAAAATTCTCCCGTTACAAGTTCAAGTTGCTATAAAACTATCAAAACTTCAATACTAATAAAACTTGGCACAAATGTGACTGGGCCATTGCCTTTGGAACAACATGTTCAGTCTTAAATTTCCTTTTACCATGGCAACTACGGGACATCTCAAAATTGCCAAAATTCACTATTTTGCGTTGATTTTTTCCATCAAAATTGATTTCAAAGTGCTGCCACTTCTCAATGGACTGAGATAGAGTCAAAGGCTTTTCAGCATTGGTTACACGTTACCTTATGATCGACCTGGGGTCATTTTTAGCCTCTAACAAGTCCAAAATTTTCTTGGCGATGAGGGGGACTTCGCCCCCTTCAAACCCCCCAAACAGAAGGGGGCACATTCCCCTTCTGGCAACCCCCTGATGTATCTTTTGGATGGGGGACGGCGCCGAAAAAGTGGTCAATTTTTAAACAACTTTTCTCAAACAAAAACAAGTGTTTTGGGCCTAAGTGTTTTTTCATCATTTGAGAAAGCAAAAAAAAAGGGGGGATGCGTAGAAAGGCGTACATGTGTATATATCTTGTGATGGGTTAACACATCTGCGAATGTTTCAAAATTCAAATTTTACTTTTTCATGCTTAAGGTTGAATTATCTTTAGGGATTGTATTTTCCCTATTCAGGCCTGTAACTTATGCCAGACTAGCATTGTTTAGAATAAATATGCTCAAAATCGTTCAAGCAAATAGAATGAAAAACGGAAGGTTTAAGAATACACAATATGGCACACTTTCGCTCGGTTTGAAAATGCCTATTTTTTTGGACAGCAGTGTAACAACGTCCTCCAAGCAAAATTCAGTATTTAAACAAAAATATAGTGAAATTATAATAGTGAAACTTAAAATTTTAAACATCCGTAGACAAGTTCATAAGACGGTAATCTAGGGATCTTCAATGTAACCATTGCGCCACTCATCAAAAACAGTGTATGGACCCAAGTAAAATAATGCGTGTAGCCTAAATAGGAAAATTATGTAACTAAATAATTGAAATTTTTAAAATAGGGTTATGAAGTCTTAATATCAGATAAAAGCCACCAAAGGAGAAATCTTAAGTCAGGCAACACATCCTTAAGGGTGATATTCAGTATTCAGGAAGGAGTACTAGAACCACCCAACGGGAAAAAATGTCAAAAAGAAAAAACTAAAACTATCCAACACAGCAATGTTATCGTGCTGAAAGATTTTCAAGGATGAAAAATATAACATCCCAGATTGATCAAACTGTCAGGAGCTGATGCATCATTTTTGCCATCTACACAGTCAGTGCTCAGTGTGATTTTGAAACACTCCCAAAGTACTGACATTTAAAATCTTATTTCTGCTGAATAGTGAGGCAACACATAGCATAGCTAGCTGAAGGAAACAGCGACTATGTACTTATAAATGTAAATCACAACTAGATGCTGGTCGGTTGCTTTGTGTGAAAATTGTTGCTTTTAAATCGACTTTTGTACAGAATGTATAAGTGCATAATTTCAAGATGTATGTATTTCTGTGACGTGTATTCATAGCTTAATCGTGTTAACTATTTGGATGTTTTGTGTGCAGTTACATTCACAACTTTTGCTAAACTTATTCACATATGATTGCTAATTTTATAAATGACAGTACTTCTTACCTTTGTCAAATTAAAAAATAATGATTTGTTTATATCATATTTTACAACTACACTCTCACAGAATGCATTACACAGACATCATGGTTCTTGATTGTTATATACGTGTGTCTATTGATGTTTTTAATGCACTTTTTCTTAATTGTAATAATGATGCAAAATTTCTTACCTTTATCAAAGGCATACTATGCCTCAAAAAACAAATAAATTAAATAATGTTTTAAGAGAATGTAATATGCTTGTTACCTGAATAAAATAGCGACAAATCTAAAATACTTTAATTGCAGTAAATGTAGCAAAATGTAAGCAAAGTAGTATTTTAACTTCCTTCCATACACACTACTAATTCACAACAACTATACTTATTGCCAAAATGTAACAGATAAAATAGTTCAGGTGATTGGCCAGTGAGTAACGGTATGGATAACATAAAACTATACCAAAATTAAAAAAAGCTTTAGAGAAAGGAAGATAAAAACTTTTCTGAGCCATAATGGGCCTTTAAGAAAAACATTATCAATTACAGTCAGGTGTTATAAACATGTATAAAAAATAATAAAATTACAATTTTTTTATAGAAAGACCGTCATAAAAACTGTTTCTGCCCATATGAGTATGTTGTGTAAGCATCGTGATGTCTTCAGTTCTAAGTTCAATTATATCCCACACACCTTTTTAGTGCTTCGAACTCATTCTGAGACACATGCCCTAAGCGACAAATTCAATAAAAGCACACTTACATCTACTTTATGTTACCAAAGATGAAACAAAAGATACCAAAATTCTAGTATGTTGTTTTTTATACATTTTTGTGTGAATTAATAATGATAAATAAAAACATTTTAAATGATGTTTTTTTTGTCTTAATTGATTAATGAATTAATCTGCAGGAAATTTGAAAAATAATTGTGTTTGCTATACAAGCCTCTTTTCTAAACCATAAAAAACCATCTTTTTGAGTAAACACATACAAGATTTGATAAGTTTTTACTCCATACACTAATAGATAAACACAGTATAAATACATAATCATTCATTATATCTGGCGTTTTTTAGTAAGGACCATATAAACTTGACCAACAATAGGGAGTGCTGCTTTCCAAACTTTTTTATTCAAAAATAATTCAGTAAGAATTTTGTAAGATTTCACAAAAATATCTGCAATAAAAGTGTTATAGCCAAAATATTACTATGCTAGGTGCATCGTTAACATAATTTATTGATATATATTGTCAGAAAATGGCAAAACATGACTTGTAAAAAAATCTTCTATTAGCACTTTAATTTTGAAAAGTGTTATGTCGACCCATTTTTATAACGCTATCCCCTCTGTGATACATTCTCTTGTAATGATTTTTATGCCAAACTAATACAGCTATAATCAGCTAAACAACAAATTACTGTAGCACAATATTTCTACTTTGTGTCATAAAGAATATACTTAAAGGCAACAAAATGCAAAAACTGTGTTTTTTTACCTATTAAATTTTTGGTTAATTGTGATAATCTTAAAGGTTGCTATGACATGATGTTTCTTTTCTTCTTAAATGTAATACATATTTATATATCTTGCCACAAAATTCAATTAATATATCATTATTGCACTATAATTGTAAAATAAGGACAGGTTTTAGGAGCGTTTATATTATGGACGCGCTTTCTTGGGGGTTATTTTACCCCACCCACTTTTGAAGCTGTACTCTTCTGTTATAAATGCGCCAGGTAATGAATTTTTATGCTTAACTTATCAAAAAATGTTCAAATGATAAAGAACATACAATTAAAAAACAATTTCCTATACATTAAACTGAAATTATAAAGTAAAGGCGAGTATTGGGAACATTGTAATTTAAAAAAAAATTCGTAATATTACCCACCCACTTTTAAAAATCTACTCGTACGGCATAAATGCCAAGAAAATGATTTTTTATGCTTAACTTGTATATCTATGTTAAATTTATAAACTACACACACTTTAAATGCATTTTCGTTTATATTGTGTAAATACGGAAAAACGAAAGTCATCATATTGTCAAAAAATTCTATTTTTTACAACTTTTTTGGTAAATTTATAGTGATAATTTTAAAGTTTGCCATATAATTGTCATTTTTGCTTGATTGAATCATAAATCAGCCATATTTTATCTGATATTGTGCAAATTGAAACTACTTTGTACAAAATCTGTTTGTAAAAAATCATAAAAACAAAAATTATATGATATTTTGTAATTTTTGGCGGCCATATTGGTGGCCATCTTGAATTTTTATACTTTTGCCCGGGCTGCGTAACTTAAGAAATGGGTTTTTAGAAACTACAAACAATACACTTTATAATGGCAATGTTTCTTTTGGTGATACGGAAAATTGCAAAATAAAACCCCGCCATCTCTTGGACTATTTACCTCGTATATACTTAATGTCAAATTTATACAACATTTACAACAATATTGTTATTGGTATTATTAAGCTAGCAACGTCTTTCATGATCACAATCGCGTGTGATACAGGTTTTTGTAAGCTCATATAAGGCATGTCAAAAATGGGATTTCATGTACAAATATTTTTTATATCAAAAGAGTAATGTAATATTATGTAAAAATAATCTGCAAAATTATGTATAAACATGTTAAAAATTAACTACGGGCACTATTTAAGGCACGAATGCACATTAATAGAATAATTGACCTTCCGTTATTAAGCTTGTTGCTACCTTATATTATTTTACAATATATTTACCTACCTTTACTAATGTTCAGTTTTTCACAGGAAATTCGGTTTGTACCATTTTTGAAGCATCTCGAGTATGGAAACTCTGTTGGCTTATAAAGAACCTTACGTTGAAGAGAAACTAAAATAGAAAACAAAAGTTTTATGATTCTAATTGTGTTTTCAATACAGAAGTGTAAAGACATCTCAACACAACAGTATTCAAAAATAATCTGTTTCGGTTTTTTATTATGAAGAATGTTCTAACTGTGAACAATATGAAAACAAGTATAAGTACTAGGGCGCGGCCATTTTGACAATCCTACTTTTGGAGACAGGAATGACAGCGTTTGTGACATTGAGATAAGAACTTTAACAAACAACAGTTTTTTTAGCTGCAATATATTCTAAACAATCTTTACATTTAAGATGTGGCGATGAATTTTTTTGCATTTTACATGTATATATTGTAACGTATATCTCATACTGAAATTTCTTTGAACTCATTTTTTGTTTGTTCGTTTAATTCGATTTAAATTTGGTATTCAACTGTTCTTATTCAAGTTCTTATTATTATATATTAATATATTTTAGCAACTAATTTAGAGGATATTTTGGGATGGTTGTGTTATCCCAGATATTTAGCCTAGGACAAAATCGATATCGTTGAAAATGGCGACTGCTGAGCCCCGGTAAGTACCTTATTATGTTAAATTAAGGTGACAAACGTTTCTTAAATCAAAACAAAACCTAGCGTATCATATGCGCGTTAATTTTCTTCGAATGACAATACAAAGTGCATTATCCTACGTTTTGTGGTTTTTGAGAACATTGTTTGAATTTGTGAAGCGATAGTAATTCGCACGAAGCGATATAACTTGGTACCAAAATAAATTGAAATAAGCCTTTTTGCACTTAAGACACCAAATCAATCATTCTATTGACATCTGTACTTGTAGAATTCCATATAAAATTTTGTTCGAAGGTTAGTAGCCTACAAATGTTCTTTGCAAGTGTTTAGTAAGGAAAACGAACAATTTCTGGATAGTAAGTGGCACGATAACAAAATAGTAAGTTTCACGCACAGTTTACAATAGCTTACTAAAATGTGACGAAACTATTTCATAATTCTTTTGGTTTCAAATTTGCAAGTGTGTTCCGTCTATTGTGACAGAGAAACAAATATCGAGAGAGTATTTTAATAATATTAATTCAAATTATGAATAATTCATAATACATGTATTCATATTCATATAATTTCATAAAATATTACTTTACTAAACTAAATGAGACATTGACATTGATACTCAACAATGTACGTTACAACACCATCATTTACTTTTCAGTATCTGCTATTTATACCAAAAACGCAAAGGAGAAGACATTCGCCATATCACATTGATATTTAATGCCATCATAGAACTGGTATACAAAGCTTTTATTAAATTTATTCTTTTATACACTGGCAGATTTTATAAATAAGCCAAAGAAGTTTGTTAAACGTTATGTATACGCTTATTTTCTTACCATGTGCAAATGTGTTGCGTCGTAAACTCTTACTTTTTGTTTGTGATAGAGTAAGTAAATAAGATATTCAGGGCGTTCATAGCCGAGTGTTTAAAGTCCCTTATTTTTATACACATGCTTCTCACTGCTATGGATTCTAGTCCGACCAGAGTCCTTGAATTCTTTCATCAAACTAGCTAACAAAACGCCGGTGCTTTAACTCAGGTGTCCCGACATTGCCGGTGTGATTTGAAACCCAGCATCTAAAATTTCTTTACCTTAATATTTTTTTACTCCACTTGCATTCACTTTAAAAAGTGTAAATATCTTTGACCGTTCGATTTCAAATAATTATTCGTTTTTCTTTAAAGGTCCATTATGCATGTTAAATGCTATCATATTTATTTTTAAAAAAAACTGTTTATTTTTGGTATCTTGTTACAGTTTCCGAAAACATACTCCTTTGTTAGATACTCAAACTATCTTTTGCATCTTTGGTTTTGTTGGAAAATGGTATACCTTTAGTGAATAAGTATTTCGTATGGAAGTCAATATACTACTTTGTTTACATTTTGCTACCTGAACGACACATCACTTAATGTTCAGCGCTACCTTTTTCAGTTGTAATAAAATACTATCATGTGTTTTATCCACTACTTAAACATTATGAAACACATGTTTGACATTTCTAAAGAATTAAAAACAATATGGATTTCTGAGGCACATCATAACTTGTATCATTGTTGTTTGTTTTTTTTTTGTTGTTGTTGTTAAACTTACTTTTTTGTTTTCGTGCGACTTACTATCTAGAAATTGTTCGTTTTACTTACTATACACTTGCAAAGAACATTTGTAAGCTACAGACCTTCGAAAATATATTTTATACAGTACGCATAAACCCTTCCAGCCTGCTGAATCTCAGTAAGGGCTTATCAGCTAGTAAATCACTATTAACTGTATGTCTCCAATTAACACGTCCACTGAGTTGAGAGTTTTGCCACTCTGTATTCTTATCTAATGGCCCCAACTTTAAAGGATCAAATTCTGTAGAGGATACACTTAATAAATTTATCAATGTTTTTTCTCCTTTCTTTTGTAAATGGGTATGTGGCCCAATTGAATTGTGAAACTTAGCAATTATTTGTAAAATTTTAATATACTTCATAAAATATATGATAATTTCTTAAATTGATAATAAATAAAGTTCAATAGTTAAGTGTCACTGTTACTCATGTTACTGACTGAACCCCATTCCCGGCTCGCTAGAAAACAAAACCAAAAACAAAAAAACTGTTCGTAGATGTAACTTTTACTGCAAAGTGCAAGACTCTTAACTAAAATGACCAGGTAAGTGATATTTTTATTATAAGCTTGACTATACTAAGAATATGGTGAGTTGTCCTACTCACCTTGGTTTGCAAGTCGACGTCAGCGTCCGTACTTTAAATTAATGTCTATGCGCCTATAACTTCTTTATTTTTTAAGGTATCAATTTCAAATATATATTCCTTATCATCATCCACATCATTTGATAAGGTGCAAAACTCTAAAACCAGTATTTCCAGAACTATATCCCCTTGAACTTAAAATAATGGTATATTTTCTTGGACGCAACACATCGTCTCGATGTGGTAGACATTAATGCCCAGTTATTCAAATATCATTCTATGCATGACAAAGTTATAGTCCGGACAGAAATGGCGACGCACAGACAGACGGACGTCCAGACAGACAGAAGGAAGATGCGATTTTAATAGGCATAGAAATGTTTCTTATCAACACCTATAGCAGGTGGGATTATATTTATAACTCAAGTCCTGTATTTCTAGAATTATCTCCATTTCATTTTTGAATTAGGGATTTATTAAAAAATTAATATATTTCTAAGAATTATCTTTGTTATCATAAATGACATCAACTGTAGACTTAACTTCCCTTTGCAATTACTTACATCATGCATGACAAGGTTTATAACTCTTGCATCCTTATTTCAAGAGATATTTCCTCTTTGAACTTAGAATTTTACTTTAAAAACTTTATTTACTTTTTGCTTGTATTATTTTGGTACCTTTTTTAAAAAAAATCACATTAATCTCTTTTCCTACTAGATTGAATGATAAGCTTCATTAATGCTTTGAATCAATTATTATTACTATACATTATTTTGCTCCTTCTGAAAAAAAGAAGAAAAAGAATGTAAATCACTGAGGTATGATATGCCTTCAACATGAAAGTAATTTACACGATTATTTTCATTGTGAGTTGTTAGTGATTAAAAACCTCTTTACTGTAATCCAATTTTTATTTGTCTTTAATTATTATTAAAAATTGTATGTATCGCTTTACACTAAAAATTTAATCTTAGTTTTTCGTTACATCTAAAATGTTCTCTATGTCTTCCAGCTTAAAGTATACATTCTTGAAACATGATAAGATCATAAAACATTCAAGAGTGCTCCTATCAGTAAAACAGTGACAAGCCATGTAATTATAATTTATTTAAATGCTCATCACTGACCAGAGATAGGAAAGTTTGGGGAAAACTGGAAATTTTGGGTTTATGCGTAGGACTGTATATGGACTTCTACGATTACAGATGTCAATAAAATGATTGATTTTGTGTCTTAAGTGCAGAAAGTAAGCTTATTTTCATTTATTTTGGTACCAAATTATATCGCTTCGTGCGAATTACTAGATCGCTGAATGTGCAATTTTCATACAATTCAAACAATGTTCTCAAAAACTACAAAACGTAGGATAATGCACTTTGTATTGCCATTTGGAGAAAATTAACGCACATATGATACGCTAGGTTTTGTTTTGATTTAAGAAACGTTTGTCACCTTAATTTTACTTAATAAGGTACTTACCGAGGCTCAGCAGTCGCCATTTTCTCGTGGGTATTACTATACAAAGCCACGTGATTCCCCCTGTTGATTATGTAAACACAAAAACTAACTACTACCACCAGGTGATTTTGTTTTTTCGCATAAACTACTTTCGTAAATGACGAATCCTTAATAATATATTTCAATACATTGGTTTTTCTTAAGCGTTTTCTCAAGGTATAAATCAAATATTCTATAAATACTAAGTTCATGGCAATTGTATGGTGGCTGATTTGGGCCATTCGTGTTTCGCCCCTCGACCCCGCCAAGCGAAAAGTTGAGAATAACAAATAAAAACGGCTGGGTCGCGGGATGAAAACACGCTTTTTAGCGAGGGCGCGGGGCGAAGTTTAATAAATAAAGTTTGATAAATAAAACTTCACCCCGCGCGGGCGCGGGACGAGATTTGAGAAGTAAAACGGCGGGGCAGCGTGTTTTCGCTCCCACTCCCGCCATTTTAACTTGTTAATTATCGACTTTTCGCTTGGTGTTGTCGCGGGACGAAAACACGTATTTATCAAACTTCGCCCCGCGCCCGCGCTAATTAGCGTGTATTCGTCCGGCCCGCCGTTTGATTTTTTAAATTTCGCTCCGCGCTCCCGCGAAACGAAGTTTTATTTTTGAAATTTCAACTCGCGCCCTCGCTAATTAGCGTGTTTTTGCTCCGCATCCCCGCCATTTTAACTTGTTAAGTCACGACTTTTCTCTTAGCGGGGTTGTGGGACGAAAACACGCTAATTAGCGGGGGCGCGTGGCGAAGTTTTATTTATTAAACTTCGTCCCGCGCCCGCGCTAATTAGCGTGTTTTCGTCCCACGACCCCGCCGTTTTATTTTTTAAATCTCGCTCCGCACCCCGCGGGACGAAGTTTTATTTATTAAACCTCGCCCCGCGCCCTCGCTAATAACCGTGTTTTCGCCCCGCGCCCCGCCATTTTAACTTGTTGATTTTCGACTTTTCGTTTGGTGGGGTCGCGGGGCGAAAACACGAATGGCACAAATCAGCCACCATACAATTGTGAGGTTTATTCAATAATTGGATCTTGAAGGGCAATGCCTATCAAAGAAAAATCACAAATTATTAACTTGATTTAAAATAAAGTTTAAGTTGCTGGTTGGGGGGTGTCCCATGGGGGGGGGGGGGGGGGGGGGGTTGCGTTCATTGAACGCCGCCTTTCCTTGTTGATCTTGTTTTTCATATTTTATATCATATGTTATGTCTAGTCCAAGCATATATAAACCTGTTAATCAATTTTAGCAAAATTCTTTTTTTTTTTACTTTGCAGGTAAAGGTCATTTAAATGTCATGGTTAGATTCAAACGGTGTTGGTTTGACCACATATGAAAACAAGCCATTTAGTTTACCCTAACTTACTTTAGTCCAATTGTGTAAGAAGCTATAAGCTTATTGAGACACAATCCCTTGCTCACTGAAACAACAACTTGACCGTTACGGGGTTTGAACCCACGCGACCAGTTATCCTTAGATTACTAGTCCGACGTGTTAACCACTCAACCATGTAAACAGTCGATAGTTCATATGCACAGCTTATTCCAGCAAAATTCAAGCAAAATACAACAATTTGACCCATGCAGGGGCCATAATATGTGATTATTAGGACATCGATGGATCTCAAAAGAATATGGTAAATTCAAGTTGCAGCTGCCAAGAATAGCTCGGAAACGATTCTTACATACGTAATTAGGGAAAAAACCTTAGTGTAAAATAATCCGAATGGGATATGACCAGGATATGAGCATGGCCTTTCTGTTGAAAACTAGGAGGCAGTTGCCGAGAATTAGTGCGGAAACGATTGTTTCTCTGCATACATACTGCATAAGTAATCAGGGACTATACCCTAGTGTTAAATGGTCCTAGTGGGACATTCCAACGATACGCAAATGACCTTTAGGTATTGATTGTTCAAATATAGTTATGTTGAAAACTAGTAAGAAGCTGCCGAGTAATAGCGCGGAAACGAATGTTACTCGTTATACATACTGAATAACTAATGACGGGTCATGATCAACAGTAATTTGGTCTGACCGGAACATGCAAATGATTTTCGCATTGAATACTCCCAAAATGTTTGTTAAAATCAAGTAAGTAGTTGACTAGAAATAACGCGGAAATATGCGTTTTCAATTTTTCTTCAGAACTTTTGATATATTTCCATATCTGTCATTTTACAAATTTACAATATTATTTTATTAAATATGTTTGTCAATTTTATGTTATACATAATCCCTTTAGATAGGCGTTACAGAAGTATAATATTTGAACGATGCCCCTCCCATCATTTTAAATGTTACTTTCATTTTTATTTTTATTATTAGATAAAAAATTGCAAATAAATTCTTACAATCAGAATCGTGTTGCTTCGGACAGATATATTAGTGCTTTAACAAATTTAGAAATGTAGTTAAACCTTTCGTGATGTTGATTTTGAAATATTATATTTTTTTATAAACATAGTTTCTCAACTAGAGCATGTAGAGGGTACAGCAGTCATATACAACTTAATTTGGTACATACTGATGCACAGACGAATTATGTCCAAAGACAATAATATTTTATTTCTCATTACTTATAGCCTTAATTGTAATAAAGTCGTTGACTGTTTTATGTATTTAAAAAAAATTGTTTGTCTATTCATGCTTTGATAATAATATTTTTGTTGGGTTTACCGTCACACAAACACATCAGTGGTCACAATATGACAACTTTCTGGCATTATTGTTGGAGGAATACCTTAGGTGCACTTCCGAGCATACGGACGAGCATCGAAGTAGAACCACCGATGTTCCGTAAGCTAACTATAGATAGTTTACTCATATGAAAGAATTCAAAGTCTCTGGCGGGATTTGAACCCACAGCGGTGTGGGGTAAGTTTGAGGTCATAGTCATAAGCCACTTGGTCATGTAACATGTTCAATTTTCAATTTATAATAGAAAGAAAAACTTACCTTTAGTTAAGAAGCTGACAACAATTAGGATGATGAGCCACTTCAAATCCATATTGAAGTTAAATATGAAATTTCACAACAATCATTGAACGTCTAAAATTCGCGATTTACAATAAAACAAACGTTTCGTTATCTGCATAACGAATAAATGATTGGACTGCGCTTTGTCCGTGCAAATAGGAACAAGATGAAATGTATTTGAGAGGAAACATTATTAGCTAATTATTAAATGTCAAATACATCATTTTTTTTCTGGCATTTGGCAGCTATTAACTAATTAACTGTTTAATGTCTAATTAGTAATTGCTTATGATAACATTTTGCGAATTGCTTCCGGTAGTCTTTGTATTTTAAACTGATGACATTTTTGCTTTCGAAGTGTATGTATAAATTGTGTTTGTTTGGATAATTCGAAAACAGTCGCGTAAAAAATGTATACCAAAAAAATATATTATTGACATTTGATTGCAATCGCGTATTTCCATGTAATGTCTTTTCAACTTCTGACTGGATACAGTTTCCACAATTTGTGATGCTTTTTTGTCTGTAATGTTAATAGCACCACATAAACGCCACTTTAATTCATCGCAATTGGAACAATATAATAAAATGTTGGTAATAATATAACAAAATGCTAATCATGTCAAAAACAAGCAGTTATTGTAAGTCTCCATAGTTTCAATAAAAATGTTTCAATGTTTCATTTTGTTCCTCAAAAGTCTTCTCAGTTATACTCTTACATAGGCTGCTTAATGAAAAATTGAAAACTTAATGTTAACGTCGTTAATTGCAATGGACACGCTAAACTTTATTACATTTTTTCAGAATTATCATTGATTGAAATATTAATTTTGAATAAAAGCTGTTTGGGTTCTTGTAGACAAGCATCAATAATCAATCCATTTGCACACCGTTGTGGCTAATTTAAAAAAAAAAACATAGTCTAAGAATGAAGAGGAGTGAAAACCAACCTATTAACTAAACTGTATGACTTCTGATGTTTTCCTTTTAATGTACATTAATATCTTTAAAGGTATCAATATGAAAGGCCTGATGTAAACAAAATATGTACACACATACACAGAATGAAGAAAAGCTATGGATTGTAACATGAAAGAAGACAATTCCAATTTGTCATTATCTAGAAGAAATCTTGATGGAAAGTTTAATGACAATAAATAAATCATAATTAAATAGAACCGTCTATCATCAACATTATTTCAAAACTATAATTATCAATATCTAAAGTTTTCATTTTTACTTATATCAGATACTTCAATCTATGCAAATACATATTTTAGCATAATAAAACATTAATTTAAGTCACTTTATAAATCAATTTATGCAAATATATAAAGTATTAAAGAAATGTGCAACTTATTGTAATTACCACATTATCTTTTTTTGTAACAAGCTCCTTCGACAAATTGCTTCTCTCTCTAGAGACCTAGAGTTAAGTCAGTTAAAGCGGGCGGTGAATGGTGAAGTATACGTTTAGCCTTCCGTCTAGAGACTACACATTTTCGGCTTGAATTGTACCTCTATTTGTTACCTTGACCTTGAATTTAACTGCAGCACTCAGTCTCACAATGGTGAGAATTTGGGGGCCAGTTATATTAAAATCTTTTGATGCATGAAGAAAAGTTTGCTTCGGGCAGAAATCTAAGTGTAACCTTGACTTTTGACCTAGAAACCTGGTTCATGTAAAGGGCAATACGTCTCATGGCTGTGAACAATTCTGTAAAGTAGAATTACAATTTTTTCATGCATGTAGGAGATACGCTCTGGAATATGTCTGGATATTTAATCATATTAAGTGACATTGATCCGCAAATATTAATCTACATTACACGTGTCACACCTTTACTTTGTTAATTTTTCTGAACTTTTAAATCTGACTGAAACAAGGCGACTATATGCACATCTCCTCTTAGTATCCCATAAAGTTTCATTGAATTCCAGCTAGTAGTAGCAGAGAAGTAGCGAGGAAACAAATATTTTTCTATATGGATACTGCATAACTTATCAAGGGCCATAACTCTAGGTTAAAGTGTCTGACCGGAACAAGCCGACGATATGCGCATCTCCACTTGGTATTGAAGGTTCCCATAAAGTTTCGTTGAATTCCAGCCAGTAGTTGCAGAGAAGTAGTACGGAAACGATTTTTACTCTATATGCATACTAAATAACTGATCAAGGGCCATAACTCTGAGTTAAAGGGTTTGACCGGAACAAGCCGACGATATGCGCATCTCCTCTTGATATTGATGATTCCCATAAAGTTTCGTTGAATTCCAGCCAGTAGTTGCAAAGAACTACTCCGGAAACGATTTTTACTCTATATGAATATTGCATAACCAATCAAGGGCCATAACTCTGAGTTAAAGTGTCTGACCGGAACAAGCCGACGATATGCGCATCTCCTCTTGATGATTCCCATAAAGTTTCGTTGAATTCCAGCCAATAGTTGCACAGAACTACTCCGGAAACGATTTTTACTCTATATGCATACTACATAACTAATCACGGGCCATAACTCTGAGTTAAAGGGTCGGACCGGAACAAGCCGAAGATATGCGCATCTCCTCTTGATATTGATGATTCCCATAAAGTTTCGTTGAATTCCAGCCAGTAGTTGCAGAGAACTACTCCGGAAACGAAATTCGGAAAGACGGCTGGACGGACGGACGGACAACGCCAAAACTATATCCCCCTCCCGATTCCATCGGCGGGGGATAATTAATGAACAATGAACGTTAATTGTTAGTGAAACAGGATACACAAAGCATGTTCATATGTACAACGGTTTCAAAAGTATTAAGCTATGTTCAAGACATGAAGCTGTAATGGTATAAAGTTTCCATAAATCACAATCTCATTTGAATCTTTAATAAAGTTGAATTAAGATTTTTAACACTTATACTGTCATCGAGAGGAACGGCAATTGGTGTGTCATAAACGTTTTCCTGTTAAACAATTAGCAATGGAATATCTTTATGAATAATGAAAATCACCTATATTATTTATAACTGAAGCAAATGCCATTGCCCACAGGAAAGCCTGAAAAGTACTGGAAGCCTATGTTGAAAGTTATTATTCATAGATGTATAGATATTGGCATTTAACTTTATATTTATTGACAGATAACATTTGAATATGTTAACAATTTATTGCATTTCAGGCTGACAGCGTACACTCCTTGTCCGCTAAAACTTCCGCTTGCGAGCAAGAACAACGAGAAAAATATCGCTGACTTTGAACTGAAAATTGATAAATAAGTTCAATAAAGACCAGTCACGGAGGAATTGTTAATGTCAATGATTAGTCATATAACGCACGTTTTCCAAATATATAACTATTTAAAAGGCTCCTCACGTGATGTTGAAAAATATCTTTAATAGAGGGCACAATCTATTTGATAATAATTTTCAAACAAGTATTCTAGTGATCAGAAATGCAAACAAAATTTCAAGCAACCGTACAGAGACCTTGCAAGCAACCGGACGACTTGTTTTCCAAATTATGCTTGTTTGTTTTTTGTTTCAATTTACGCCTTTTCCCAACAGCATTTCAGTCATATAGGCGGGTAGTTTCCTGGAGAGTTACACCAGTACTAGACTACCTTCCTCAGTGCTAAACTACCAAAGCATCTCCCGGGGATCGAACCCACGCCAGAGAGGTAACTGAATTAGAAATCATCGACTCTAACCCCTTGACCACGGAGGCGGTACTCCAAATTATGCAAGCAACGTACAGTGAGATAACCTCACAGGTGGCAATTTCAGTGTCAATATTTTTATAACAAAGGAGTTCTCTTCAAATATTCCCTCATTTTCTGTTACCAAGATAGTTACTATTTTAAGAGTCAAGAGGGTTTTCACAAATATTTGATGTTACGTTTTAAAATTGTTGCTTGAAGTCGACAAAAAAATATTTTTTTTGAGAAATCGAAGTGAGAAATCGCTTTGTTTTAAAAAATATAGGTTTTGCTTTAAAATGCATACGGGGGATAATTTGTTTCATGTAAGACCCACCCATAAAATACAATAAAATCTTTAATGATCGGTTTTAACTTAACTGTTTTACCTATAGTTCGGTCTAAATCCTCGTTTTGTTGTGTATAAATCGCTCGTAAGCGGAAGTTATGGCGGACACTGGTGTGTAAGCTGTGATGCTGGAATAATGCTAATTCATTAATTCTTTTCAAAAGTAATTAGCCCCGTATCGGCTGATACATTACAGGAGTGTACATAATATTTATTGATGGCCAAAGGTGGACAATTCAACAAAGACAGTAATTCTATCAAATGACCTTAGTTTCATGGCATATTTTTGTCTCATGTTTGTCCAGTGTTGATTATTATACCATTTGTTCAGATCATATAATATCACAATGTGTAGGCGACAAGATTGCTCAGTCAGTAGAGCCTTTAAACGGCATTAATCATGGTTTTCAGACCATGTAAATGTAATGAAGGATTGATTTGCTTGATTTTACATGATTGTTATTATTCAGGTGATATTTAACAAATTTAGACTTCCACTTTCATACTATATTAATTGGTGTTACAATTTTTAAGATGAAATCACAAAGGTTTAAAGATCCTGTATGTTGTAATTAAGGTTGTAACAAAACTTAAGAGAAATTTTATATATGTATAAAATTATTATTCTAAAACAATTTTTAAAAATCCAAGAATATGTTAAATATGTACTGCAAATGTTTAAACCCATTTTATGAAACCATTAAAATATAATTATGCATTCATTTCTTTTTGAAAAAAATGTTAAGATTTTATTGAAAATAAATGTCTTATTACCTCCCTTTATTTACATGAATATGTAAATTCAGTAATATCTTTACAAATAATGCTTTCTGGAACATACAATATTGATCAATCTTTATTTGAGCATCATATTTATGATATATAACTATAAAAAAAATTTAAGGGATTGTTAGCCATCAAACAATCTTTTATTGGGCATTCTAAAGCAAAACATTTAGTGATATATCAAGCTGTTTTTAAATGAGTTTATGATTTTGTTATCATACAACTTTTAATCAACCTTCTGTTTAAATGTTTCTTTCTTTCATTTCATGAACTGTTTGTAATTATAGCTTTCTATTAAGTATGGAGGGAAGGAATAATAAACAAGAGGGCCA